GATTTTTAATTCGTTAACCTGCTTTTGTTGGTAACCGGTTTCATCGGCCTGCAACTGCATGATGCCTCGCGAATGTACATTTGGTTGTAGAAAATGTACTAGATTTGGGATTTCCGTAACACTACCCTCCACTTAATCTTGTTCGTCCCGAACAAGGTTGTTTCGATATACGGTCAGTCGGTCCAGGTGTACAACTTTGAATCTAGTTCTGCCTCCGGGATGTTTTCGTATTCGATAGAGCACGTTATTTATCTTTGTGATGAGTTTATACGGACCCTGCCAGTAACATCGCAGTTTTGGTGACAAACCTTTTTTACGTAAAGGATTCTACAAGAACACTAAATCCCTTTCCATAAATCCGTTAGCCCTCAGATCGTATCTTGCTTGCATTTTGTCACTTACGATTTGCGTTCTATTTCGAACCTGTTGATGCATGTTATCGAATATCACTCTCAATCTAAACATATTCGGTCTCGGTCCTTTGCACATTAGGCGGTGTCCCGAATTTTAAGTCTGCTGGTAGCCTCAGATTAGACCTGAACAAAGTGTGCGCCGGGGGTAGAGCGGTGATGTTGTGCACTGCCGACCTGTATGCCATTAAAAAGATTGGTATGTGTTCATTCCAGTCTTGTTGATTGTCGTCGATCACTTTTCGCAGATGTTCTTAAAGCGTTCAATTAAACCTTTCAACCATTCCTGACTGAGGATGCAACCGAGTCGTTCTAGTTTTATTAATGACAAATATTTGGCAAACCTCTTGAAAGATCGAAGATTCATAGTTCGTACCTTGGTCTGAATGCAGCTCGATGGGGGTTCCAAGCCGCGTCACCCAATTATTGACGAATACTTTGGCTATTATCTTTGCTTCTTGGTTAGTTATGGGGTATACTTCTGACCAGTTACTGAAGTTATCAATGACTACCAGTACGTATTTATTTGCTTCATTGCTGGCTGGACATGGCTAAGCAATATCCATTGCGAGTCTTTCCAACGATGCACCCACGATATACTGCTGCAAGCGGCCTCGCGGCTTACTTTTCGAGCTTCTTGATTTGCTGCACTGATCGCAGTTGCGAATCCATGCAGTTACGGAGTTCTTAATGCCTTGATACCCAATAAAAATTTTCCTTGATCTTCTCCAGGATTTTTGTTATGCCAAGATGCCCTCCGCTTGGTCCATCGTGGTATTCCCTTATAATTTCATGAGTTCTCGCTTGTGGGTCCACCAGTAATTTCTTAGCCCATGAAGCATCTTCACTATGACATATGCGCCACAAGCATCCATTTTCAACGGTGAGGCTTTGCCCCTGAGCCCAATACGCTTTCGTAATCGGACCTTCTCTTGAAATCTCTTCCCAGGTAGGACACTCCTCCTTTTCTAAGGCCTTTAATATTGCGTTTAAATCTTTGTCAGCCATTTGGGCACTGCACATGTTTTCCTTCGAAAAGCTGCAATTGGGCTCCACGATAGATCGGCAGATGACGACACCTCCTTAATGCTCATTTTTTACGCAGTGTTTGCAATGCGGGTCGCACGGTCGTCTGGACATTGAATCGGCATTGCCATGCGATTTGCCGCTCCGGTGTGAAATCGGGAATTGGTAGGTTTGCGGTTTTTCAGTCCACCTGGCTAGCTGTCCTTCTGGTTCTTTGTAGTTGAATAACCATGGCAGAGCAGCATGATCTGTCCTTAGGTGAAATTGTTGCTCATACAGATATTTATGGAAGTGCTTGACAGATTGCGTTATTGCCAGCAGTTCTCGTTGCGTGACATAGTAATTCCTCTCGGATTTAGATAGGCGATTGCTGTAATATGCTATGAGCTTTTCGTTACCGTCAATTTGCTGCGACAGCACAGTGCCCAAACCTTCTGCGCTTGCATCGGTATCAAGCTAAAATGGTTCCTGCGCATAACAGCTCTTTTAACTGCGTGAACGCGTGCTCTTGGGACTCATCCCATGTAAAGGGTTGATTTTTCTTCGTAAGGTCATACAGTCCACTAGCAACCGTGGCGAACGTGGGGACGAATCTGCGGTAGTATGTACATAGTCCTAGGAAACTGCGAACTTCGTGCAAATTGTTTGGTCGTGGCCAATCTTGTACTGCTTGGATTTTCTCTTCATCCGTCTGAATTCCAGTCGTGGAGACCTTGTGTCCAAGATATGTCACTTCTTTCCCTTTGCCAGTGGTATTCTTCTAGGCCGTTGCCGAATCGGATCAGCTCCTGCAGTATGGATAATATGGTTCGCTGCATTAGTACGGCCATTTAAATCCGTACCGCTGGCAAAGATGGACCAATTTCCCGGCAAAAACTTTTTGGCATATTTTTTCTGCTGCTCATCCAGATTGCTAGTCGATCTTTTTATGAGAATTTCAGCCTCTGTGGATACCATTGGGCATATTTTCAGAATTTCGGTTTGATGATTTACTACATATTCGGCTTTTTGGCATTGCGCTATAATGTCCCCTTTGTGTATTTTTGCTGTAACGCTGGTTGGGTTTAATACCCGTACTGGTATTAAATTGTTGACCGGTGATACAACCGCTTTTCCAATGATGATGTTGTCTTTCGTACATTGTTTACTCGGCTCGACAACCCATATCTTGTTTATCCTTAGCTCCTCGGTAGCTGCGGCCCACACTATTGTTTCGGAGTTTGGAGGGATCTTCTGTTGTCGTTGTATTTGTAACACTACGGCTTGTCTGTCGTACCCTACAGTCAACGGCAAAGTCACATTAGTGTATTGTAACACTTGCCTAGAAGTTGTTAAGAGTGCACTTTAATTAATATAGCAAGTAAAAGTGTATATTTTTTTTTTTTTTGGTATGTTGAACAAGGAGATGGGTAAAAGTGTATATGAGTTTGTCACAAGCTATCGCAAATATGCAAAAGCTTGGCAACAGATAACAGTAAACAACAATACATTTTTTTAAAGAGTCTGATAGTGGGAATAAGTGATAGACATCATTTAGGTTTCTGCAAATAACTCTGGACGGATTAAACAGCTCATAGTTGTATTTGCATTGACTAAGCTTAATCATGAGAAAGTGCGTAGAGGAGCGGTTAGGGACATTAAAGCTTATCTCACCAAGTGATGCAGGCGAGTCATTAGCAGCATTTATTACTTTGATTACGAAGGAAACGCCAAGAATAAATATAAGTATTAATGAAAATAAGTATTCCATTTTGTATGTAGTCAAAAATTAAAGATTCAAAGTTTAATGAAAGCGGGCATGGCTATCAGCTGTGTTGCATCAAATTAAACTGTATAGCATATATACAACTTACGTTACTATATGCGACTGAAGAAACGTTTGAAAAGATCATTTTTAAATTAGTTCACGTATTTTCACGATACTTCCCCAATTGTGTATTCATTAGCATAGCATTCATTTTCTATTAAAATAAGTAATAATGTTGCCAAATGTTTTTCTATACATTTGGTATCTTATTTGACTTTCTCTACTACTCTTTACAACTATGCGCCGTTGCGGTAAACAGCTGCTGAATGTCAAAAATACAAACAGTAGTGACAACTTAAAGACAGGCTTCCTATTTCCCAATGCTTGTCTGTTCTTGCAAACTTACTTGAAATCTACGTAAAGCTAAATCCTAGGTAATCGTTATAAAAGTAATTATATCTCTCTAAAGTATTTAGTAAAAAGTGTACAAAATGTATTAATCTAAATGATATATATATGATTAAACGAATAAACGCATTAAAGCGTTTTTAAAAGTTAATGATATGAAGCTACTGTTGTGGAGTGGTAGAAATTTAATTGCAGAATAATTTGTTATCCCTTGCGGAAGTAGTAAAGAAATTCAAAATAGTTTACTCGTAAGGAATTTTGCTGGAACTTGGTTTGTTTATTGCTTAGTGTCGAGGTTTGAACCTTGCTGAGCGAGGGCGAGAGTAAATCCGCTCGAGCGAATTCTCAGATATTATTATGTGAGGAATAAGTTTTAATGTTTTGTTTGAAATTTTCCTTTCAGCCATGGTGCGTATGAATGTGTTGGCCGATGCTTTGAAATGCATTAACAATGCCGAAAAGCGTGGTAAACGGCAAGTTTTGCTGCGACCTTGCTCGAAAGTAATCATAAAATTCCTTAGTGTGATGATGAAACATGGATATATAGGCGAGTTTGAGATCGTTGACGACCATCGTTCCGGCAAAATTGTAGTGAATCTTACTGGTCGCCTAAATAAATGCGGAGTCATCTCTCCACGTTTTGATGTACCGATTAATGACATTGAGAAATGGACAAATAATTTATTACCTTCACGTCAATTTGGTTACGTTGTATTAACGACATCAGGCGGTATAATGGATCATGAAGAAGCCAGACGAAAACATTTAGGAGGCAAAATACTTGGTTTCTTTTTTTAAACGGTAGCACACATGTGAAATTGTACTTTTAATTTTAATATCTAACATGTGTGTTATCATTTAAAAAAAGAATTTGCAATGCTATTGTTTTCCTATTTTTCTTAATTTAACAAAACAAAAATGGATACTTTATAAAAGTGATTTATTGCTTAATTTTCAAGTCGCCAGAAAAGAATAAAAATGATGCAATAAATTCATGTAGCTAGTGGTTACTAGAAACGATTTCATAATGAAAGCTCAATGATTAGTATGAATTTCAACGCGGAAAGTTTATTACCTTTACGCATCACAACATCAGAGAACATTTAAATGTTATGCATCAAAAAGTAAGGACAGTTTATGTGCATACATTTGTAGTGTGGCTCGCTCGCCATGTTTGTTTACTTAGGTATCTATCCATATATTTAATTTTCCAAACTGGTAAATTTTAAGCAGAAAAACGAAATTGGTATAAATATTAAGCGATTAAGAGCTTTTGAAACATTTACTACAAATGTCGATTAAATATGCTTGTAAATGTCTCGCATGTAACAATTGGTTTATATTTTGAACATGTTGGTAGATAGAAAACAATTGCAACTTTAAACTGCAATGTCCAAGATGTTCATATAGCAACATCGAGTATGCTTGTAACTACCAATGTGTTTTAACTTGCTACAAACGTGTACAGAAAAGTATTATTCTTTATCATGTAATTTAAGCTTTGCTCTTAACTAAGAAAGTGCGCGTTACTGTTTTCGAGGGTGCTGTTCGTTCAACATATGTATAACACATCGATATGTCAATCCTCGAGCTCCACAAAAGTATTTAAAAAATACGGAAAGTAAAAATTGTTCATCTCCATTTTCTATCCGCTTTTTCGTATGATAATGCTAAAATTGAGTAAAGGGGCTTGCAAATTGGAATGCATAATGTTCGTATTCACTATGATATGATAAAAATGCACCCGCAGTACGATGCCGTTGAGATTTTGTGGTGGCAGGTATATAGCAAGCTTCCGTCCATCTATCGCGATGGTATATATATATATATATATATATAAAAAAGAAAAAAACTTTGAAAATATATCAATGTTATTAAATATAAACGTACACACATAGGTGTAAATCTTGGATAATATAAACCATCAGGTGAACTTAGATATACACTTAAGGAAGGTTCAGTTTTTACTTTTATAAAGCTGTTTAGTAAATTGCTTTAGCATTATTATAAAGCTAATCAGCAGATTAGGCCAAACATCGGCATAAACTATGTTAGGATAGAACATTAAATCTCTACTTAGTCTTCCTTATTAAGTAAAAGAAATTTTCTGCTTAATTATTTACTATGCAGTATTAACAGTAAATCGTTCTTTTCATATTTTTGTATTAAAGGCGTGTTCCGCTCTTGCTCTGGTTCCATACATATATTTTTTTTTTTGTTAGAAGTACGTCAATGCCGTTTTTTTTTTTTATGGACAAATGTCCCCATGTAAACTAATTTTTTATTTTTGTGGACGAGGAGGGAAACATTAAATTGTCTTGAGAACTGTGTTTTAATAAACGGGGAATTAGGGCCAGCTGTAAGATTATATGTAAACAAGCAGACGAGGCGTTTTAGGACAATTAATTTAAAAAAAGTTGACTTTGAAAAATCAAAATTTTTTTCTTGTATTTGAAAGGGAAAAATAGGAAAACGTTTTCGAATTTTTTAAATGGTCATCGTCAGAGTAAGAGAACTTTTAATTTTCCAATATGGAATGAAGAATAATTTATATATCTAGATCTGCTTAAAAAGAATTCGTCGACTAGAACTCATATTGCTACTCTTTCCTTACAATCATCTGATATTGACATGTCGCATGTTAGATGAACTTATGGCGGTGCTGCTGGAAAAAAATATTCTGCTGTAGGATGTGACGAGATTATATACTATTTATTTATTTATTTCACTTATACTAGAAACTCAACAAAAAAAAAAACGGCAGTCGAGTTCAATTGACTCTTAAAGTAAATCTTAAATTAATTAATATTAAAACTTAGTATAAGTACAGTAAAAAAAATAAGAGAGAAAAAAAAAAAGAAAGAAAGAAAAATGCATGCACAAAACTAGCATAGAGCCACACCCACAACCGGTACAGGACCAAATTGCAAGTGAATCCCTAAGCCATCGCAAACATGCATAAGTTTGGCAACCGATAATACAATTAATTTACGACTCATGATCACTTTTTAAAGTTAAAATTTAGTTCAAGTACGACATAGGTAAATCGCGCGTATTAAGTAATGTTGCTTTAATGGACTTTAAATAGTCCGTTAATGAGAATAAGTGATAGACGTCATTTAGTTTCTTGCAAACAACTCTGAGCGGGTTAAACAGTTCGTAATTATATTTGCATTGACTATGCTTTAGAGAAGCGGTTAGGGACATTAAAACCTATCTCACGAAGTAATGCGGGCGAGTCAATTCTACCATTTATTAATTTGATTACGAAGGAAACCCCAAGAACAAATCTACGTTTCTCCAGTGACGGTAAGGATAACAGAAGCAACCTATTTTCATAGGGTGGAAGAGGCCAATCGGGTCCCAAACCAAATTTCTAAGGGCAAGCAGCAAGAATTGCTTTTGAACAGATTCAATTGAATCTACGTACCACCTATATGAAGGAGACCACACAGGAGAGGCATACTCAAGTATAGATCTAACTAAACACATGTAAAGCCTTTTCGTAAGGATCATCAAGCTCTCTGGACCACCTCTTTATGAAACCAAGCACGGACCTAGCTTTGCTTAACAAGAACTCAATATGCAAATTGAAACGTAACCTATAATCAAATAGAACGCCTAAATCTGTGAACAAATCGACATCTTCCAACTTGTGCGAATCAATGAAATATTGAGTACTGAACGACTTCCTTGTTGAGAAAGAAAGTTTTTTAGATTTATTTAGATGTAGTTTCAGAAGACTGAAAGAGCACCGTGCAACCAAATTATTCAAATCACTTTGAAGATGATGTGATTGCGATTCTACGGAAAAGGAAGAAAACAGTTTCACATCATCAGCATACATTAAGATCTTGCTGAATTTAATCGCAGAGGGCAAATTATTGATGTATAAATTAAATAAAATTAAGTGGCTACCTTCAGGTACGCCAGACGTCACGGGGAATTCATCCGAGGTAATGAGGTTAAATAAAACCCTGAACGATTTACCATGCAGATAAGAGCTTAACCATTCCACTAAGATGAAAGGTAAGCCAGAGGCTTGGAGTTTAAAGATAAGTAGTCTATGGTTAACCAAATCAAACGCTTTGTTTAAATCAGTGAATATAACATCTGTGCGAGAGCCACTAGAACAAGCCTTGAAAACATGACCAGTATACTTTAACAAGTTGATGACTGTAGATCTTCGCTTTTAAAACCATGTTGGAAAGGAGAAATATACGATTTTATGAAAAAGGCTATATTCTGAGCCACATTTCGTTCAAACAGTTTAGGCAAGACAGTCAACTTGGCAATGCCTCTGTAGTTCTCTACAAGTTGCCTACTACCACTTTTGTGAATAGGAATAAGGAAACAAGTCTTCCAACACAAAGGGAAAACACCTGAATTCAAGGACTTGTTAAAAATCTTTGAGATAACACCACATAGCTCGCCAGCGCAAGATATAAGTACACATGAGGGGATTCCATCAGGTTCAGGCGAACAATTATATTTTAGAGAGCTCAAACCTACAAAAACGTGCTTTTCAGATATAACAAAGTTAGAAATTGAGATTAAATTACAAATTGGATATGAATAGTTTGCTGATAAATCAAAATTGATAGTTGAAAAGTTCTGTCGGAAGTATGCCGCAAAGAGATTTGAGGTTTCAAAATCATCCGAGGACTCGGAGCCATTAAAAGACACATGCGAGGGATTTATGGAGATTTTTATTTTTGGGTTAACAAATTTAAAAAAGTATTTAGGATTAGCAAACAAGGAGGATTTAACAAACTGAAGGTATCTGCAATAGTATTGGTGATTGAGGGAATTAAATTTATGCCTTGCCACAGAGTAAGCCAAATAGTCGAAAGAAGAACCACTTTTCGAAAATTTTTTGAAAAGCTTATTTTTCCTTTTCTTGTAATATTTAATTGTTTTATTAAACCACGGGGGACACTTACTTCGAGGACGGGACTGCTTGATCGGAACGGATGCAGAAATAGCTTGATTTAATATATTGTAGAACTACGACAGTAAGCTATCAAAACTTCCCACTGAGAAATCAAGCGCAATATGAGGAAGATGTGATTTTAGCATGGAAACATTGATTCAATGGAAATCATCAAATTTATATGAAAAATTTGAATTTGGAAAGTTATAGAAGTTCAACGAACCAACATGCTTGCAATGAAAGGAAATACCCAATGCTGGAAGATATGGATCCTCAGGTAAACTAAACGGAAGACAACGATTAACATAAATCTCAGGAAAATTGGCAAAGCAAACATCAAGCAATCTACCATTGCAATTAGGGGTACCATTGTATTGAACTAAATTATGATCAAATAATTCATTAAAGAACACAACGGCTCTACCAGATGTTGAGGTAGGAACCAAACAGCCAGAAGTATCACTGTAACACCAAGTGACTTGAGGCAAATTGAAGTCACCCAACGCTGTGACTATATAGGTAGGTTTAGATTGCTTGGCCACTTTACAAATGAGGGCGGCCTGCTTTATATATACAGAGATATCCGAATGTGGGGGAATATAGGAGCAGGTCACATTTAAGTGTATATTAGGAAATTTCACTCGAATGGCAATAAATTCAACGTCGGGAGTAGTTGGAAATTCAAATGAATAGGAGGGAACTGCCGAAGAAATGGCAATTAAAACACCACCACCATTGCGAAACAATCGATCGTTTCTGAAAACTTGAAACGAATTATGGAAAAGTTCCGACGAATGTAGATCCGGCTTTAACCATGTTTCAGTGAAGACCAGACAGGGAATCTCCGTGCTCACTGAATTTAGGAAGGTAGAACGAATTTTTGAATTTAGGCCCCTAACATTTTAATAAGTAAGAGAAAATGAGCCTGAAGAAATATTTAGTTTTTTGAGGGGGAAAGGGCTACTGCATTAGCATTACGGGGTCGAACCCCAGGGATAAATTCCTTAATTAAGAATCCAACCGGCCACAATGGTTTATTTAACATCAAATCCATACTCTCAG